AATGATGCAATGAAATGACCAAAAAAGAACCAGCTTTCCCTAATTAAATCTTTCATTGTGAATGTTAGCTGGGAGAAGAGCAAAATTTCTTTCTTTTTAATTAGTTGTGATGTTTTAGGAAAAATTAAGACAGGAGGAGATAGGATTATCAGTTTTCTTTTGTAATCACAATTGATTTCTGTAACACTTTATTGGAATAATCAGCTAGTGTGAGAGGTTGTTAGTTGTCTGCTAGTTTCAGTTTGCCCCATCTTTCTTGGCAATAAAACCCCTAATTTTAGCTGGCACATGGTTACCTGGAGTACGGACTCCATTTCCCTACCTCCCTTGCATCTAGGCATGACTGTTATTACAAAATTTTGATTAATTGCTTATAAGTAGAAGTGCCATGTACAACATCTTGTAAGCTTTCTAAATGAAGAAGGCTTTCTGCCCCCTTTCTGTCTTCCTGAAGGAAATGCAGACATGGTGGCTAAGCTCAGGCAGCCATCGTGGACCATGAGGTGGATCCATGCATTGGGGATGGCTGAGCAACAAGATACCAGGTACCGCTGGATTGCCTGTGTGTAAATGAGAGATAAACTCCTGTTTTGTGTTACCTATGTTATTTGTGCTTTGTTCTCACATGAAGCTGATCAGAGTCTCAGCTGATACATCTATGAATCCACTACATCTTGTTTGGTAGGAGAGCAGCTCTTTGAGTTTTGTGGGGGGTTTTTTGTTTGTTTTTTAATGAGACTATATAACACAGATAGAGGAATGCTTTAGTTGGTGGACAAGAAAGTCTTAACTCTCGTAAGTAAAAATGTATGACATGTTCTGCAGTGTTTAAAATCTTAAACGTCATGTGAGAAGCCACCATCGTGACTCTTAAAAACCATAAAAATCCTCTTTTACTTCCCCTCCACCTTTTTCTTCCCCCTTCCATAGTTGTTTTGTCCTAAAGCCAGGAAGTGGGACAGAAAAAGAGAGGTGTTCAGGGTTTGGGGGGCATGATGGCCTAGAGTGGAGTGTGGGAACCTTACTGAGGAGAGCATCTGTGCAGAGTGGCGAGCCAGGCTTGGGAGGTTCGAAGCCAGGCAGGGCAAGGAGGGGGGGCAGATGAGGAGGGTGAGTCTGAGCAGAGTGCGAGGTATCCAGGTGGGAGGAAAGGGTGGAGGGGCGATCAAGTTACTGCATTACTACACTGGATAGTCGAAAGGACTCAGAAGAATCCATAGCATACAGGATTTAGCAGGACTAAGAAAACACAGGTGAGCCTCGGGTCGGAGAGGCTCGCTGGTGATTCCTGTGTCATGCTGTATTGGACTTGAATTTGTTGGTGTGAACTCATGGTTTTCAATAATACAAATAGTGAAGTCAGTATAGGGGTATGTGGTGTATGTGTGTGTATGTGTGTATGTTCATGTTCATGTGTTCTCTAGCTCTGTCCACTGAGAGGGGCTGAGAATACTGATCCCCTAGATGGCAGTGAGCACATCTAGTGCCTAGATTTTGGCTTATGTATACATTTTCTACAAAAGGAACCAGAACCAGAACTCATTGCAGAAATGGCTGATTCCAGGGCTGTGACAGAAAAAGTTCGAGATGAGCTTGAATATCTTGTGCCAGAAAGCAAGGAAGTGCTCAAAGAGTGATGAGACATGCCAAAGGGGCTTAGAAGCCAGGTCAGATGGGCTCCCACTGGCCAACTGGGACAGTTTGAATATCAGCATACACAGTAATGGTAGATTATAGCCCATTGACTAAGATAGGAAACCACAAAGCCATACAAAGATAAATAAATAAATCATGATTCTCAACAGCAACACTATTGATTGACATTTTGGAGTGGATGAGTCTTTTGTGGAGGCTGCATTGTAGGATGCTTAGTAGAATCCCTGGCCCCTACCTCCTAGATGCCACTGCTTTTCACCAGTCCTGTCCAATACTGGTATCACACAAGCCACATATGAGAGTTTACATTTCCTAGTGGCCATAGTTACCAGAATCATAAACTTCTCCAGACATTCCCAAATGTCCTGTGAGGGTCAAAACTGCCCTAGTTGGGTACGGTGAAATACATGTGGAACAGGATATTTATATAAGTTTAAAGTCCCCCCCCCGAAAAAAAATTACTAATTATAAAGGGGAAAAGAAATCGACAGTGGACAAGCCTGACAGACTTAAGTGATCAAGGTAAGGTCATCAGTGATAGGACAAATGGAAATTGTTTGCCGCCTGATAGGGTGCAATGAGAACACGGCATTTCTTCCACATTACTATAAAAGATGCTTAACGTAACTCTAAACAAGAAACAAATGACATCCATATGGAGGGCATAATACAAAATAATGTGGCCTACAAGCTTCACAGTTGTCAAGGTTGTTAAAGTTGAGAAAAGAGAAACTTGGACTAAAGTTGGTTTAAAGAGACCCGGCAGCTACATGCAATGTGGTTCTGAACTGGATCTTTTCTGTAAAAGAAATGATTGGGACCGTTGGCGAAACTTGGATGAGGGAGGAGGATTAGATGGTAGTGATGCATCATCTTTTTAAAAAAATATATATCTTTATTGATTTCAGAGAGAGGAAGGGAGAGGGAGAGAGAGAGATAGAAACATCAGTGATGAGAGAGTCATTGATCGGTTGCCTCCTGCATGCCTCCGACTGGGGATCGAGCCTGCAACCCCAGCATGTGCCCTGACCAGGAATCGAACCCCAATCTCCTGCATCCTAGGTCAGTGCTCAAGCTCTGAGTCACGCCTGGCCGGGTGTGATGCATCATCTTAAGTTTTGACATTATCAACTGTGTCATGGTCATTTAGGAGAATGTCTTTGTAAGAATGTCCCAAAGTATATGGGGTATCAGGCTAGCAGCTTAAACTGAATGGTTCAAGGCAGGAAAATATGTCTTTGTATTGTAGTTTGAAGTCTTCTATAGTTTTGTGATGGTTAAAAAAATAAAAGCACTCAATAGTTGTGGTCAGGAGTGATACTCATTTTCTTCTAAGCCTGGGATCCAACATTGTGACCCGTCTTGAGAAGAATTTTTGCCGCCTTTTTTCCTTAAGGGAAAAGCTCTGCTGCATAGCTGCATTAATATAGTGTGTGTGTGTGTGTGTGTGTGTGTGTGTGTGTGTGTGTGTGTGTNCCCCCGAAAAAAAATTACTAATTATAAAGGGGAAAAGAAATCGACAGTGGACAAGCCTGACAGACTTAAGTGATCAAGGTAAGGTCATCAGTGATAGGACAAATGGAAATTGTTTGCCGCCTGATAGGGTGCAATGAGAACACGGCATTTCTTCCACATTACTATAAAAGATGCTTAACGTAACTCTAAACAAGAAACAAATGACATCCATATGGAGGGCATAATACAAAATAATGTGGCCTACAAGCTTCACAGTTGTCAAGGTTGTTAAAGTTGAGAAAAGAGAAACTTGGACTAAAGTTGGTTTAAAGAGACCCGGCAGCTACATGCAATGTGGTTCTGAACTGGATCTTTTCTGTAAAAGAAATGATTGGGACCGTTGGCGAAACTTGGATGAGGGAGGAGGATTAGATGGTAGTGATGCATCATCTTTTTAAAAAAATATATATCTTTATTGATTTCAGAGAGAGGAAGGGAGAGGGAGAGAGAGAGATAGAAACATCAGTGATGAGAGAGTCATTGATCGGTTGCCTCCTGCATGCCTCCGACTGGGGATCGAGCCTGCAACCCCAGCATGTGCCCTGACCAGGAATCGAACCCCAATCTCCTGCATCCTAGGTCAGTGCTCAAGCTCTGAGTCACGCCTGGCCGGGTGTGATGCATCATCTTAAGTTTTGACATTATCAACTGTGTCATGGTCATTTAGGAGAATGTCTTTGTAAGAATGTCCCAAAGTATATGGGGTATCAGGCTAGCAGCTTAAACTGAATGGTTCAAGGCAGGAAAATATGTCTTTGTATTGTAGTTTGAAGTCTTCTATAGTTTTGTGATGGTTAAAAAAATAAAAGCACTCAATAGTTGTGGTCAGGAGTGATACTCATTTTCTTCTAAGCCTGGGATCCAACATTGTGACCCGTCTTGAGAAGAATTTTTGCCGCCTTTTTTCCTTAAGGGAAAAGCTCTGCTGCATAGCTGCATTAATATAGTGTGTGTGTGTGTGTGTGTGTGTGTGTGTGTGTGTGTGTGTGTGTGTATCATGCTGATTATACAGTGAAGTTTTAGGACGTAAAATAAAATGGAAGGCAGATCCTTTTTTTGTTGGGTCTTTTTATTTTGGTGGATCTGTATATATTTTTTCTTTATAGTTGGAAAAACCATCTTTAAGCAAATCTAACCTTGTTCAACCCCCATGATAATGTTTGAAAACTGGTGTGCAGTCTGTAGGTGCAATAAACGTCAACCAATAGTGTGGGGAAGGCCTGGGGGGGAAAATTGGGGGGGGGGCGTAGGGACATCTGTAATACTTTCAACAATAAAGATAAATTAAAAACAGAAAAACAAACACATCAACCAAACTCTTTTTAGGAGAAATTTTTTAAAAAATTCTGATCATCTGATAGTGTGCAGAAGAATTCCTGGGTTAATAGTGGACATAGATGAAATAAGGAGCTTCCGGTCTTCTCTTGTGTGATCTTTTTGTCTGGTTGTGATGGTTTCTTTTAGCTTGGGTGAGGGCTTTGTGCTTCCCACACTCTTGGCCGGTTCTCTGACTGGCACAGTTACTGAGATGGATCACTGAGGCTTTGCCAGCAGAAATCAGGTCTCCAAGCAAAGCTCACTGGTCTTTGTAATGTCTGATCCTGCACATTAATCTCATTAGCTCGAACTTACTGTGCAGATTGCACTGCTAATTGCATGACTTTTCTTAATTTGTTTTAACATTTAACACTGTTATATGAATCCTTGAATCTGTTTTTGTGAGTGGTAGCATTTCAACCAATGAAAATAATTTAGCACTTTACCTTTTAGGAGTGTAACTATAATTTGGGTACATTAATTGATTGGGTGAATTTTTTTTTCTTTTACAGTTTCCTTATCCCACATCACACAACTGGTCCTCAGCCACAACAAGCTAACAAGTGAGTTGACTTTATCATTTGTTTCACAGTTTCTAACTTGTAGGTAGTGTGGTGATACTGCCGACTCTTATGTTTCCTTTAAAGACATTAATAACAGATGTTTATTTGGGGAAATCTAAAATTTATTTTGGTGACACTAAAATACATGAGCATATTGTCTTTCCATATTTTGTACTTGGCTCTAGTTTGAGGATTCTTTCCTATTGTATGTGTAAGCTGAAGAAAGAAAATGACATTGTTTCTTTGGAAATGTTCCCTTTCACAGATGATAAACGCTGCAGTGACCTGAACTGCTGAGCCATTCATTAGTATTTCATGAAAAAAAAAGTAATTAGGATAAGCGTTTTTTGCCTTTATCTATACTTCTCTTCAGAGGGGAAAAATTTAGCTGTTGATGTACTTTCCTTCCCTGCTTAATAGGGGGGGAAAAAACCACAAAGTTGCATAAATTATATATATATTTGAATCTGCATTTTTAAAAATTCTTGAGTCTGATTTCTATTGGGCATTGGTAGTGTCATGGTATGGTTAACATATAGTAGATTTAATGCTGGCTTTTATAAGAATATCTTGCACGAATGATATGGGCCATTTTATTCTTATAGCTATGGTTTTAAAGATTTTAATGATGGCCCCACTCTTCTTTATTATTCCTAATTGACTGTCACTTCTTTGTGCTTGCCATATTTCCTGCAGACTTGAATGATTTTCTAATCATGTGGCAAGAATTTGTTCGGGAGCTTTCTGAGTCCAATGAAATTGAGCAGAATGTCATCCTGAGGGATTTGTGCCGTGAATTTATGTGCGTTATGTACAGCTTGAAGCAATGTCACAGAGCTATTGAATATTGAGAATTAGGAATGGCAGGGCCCCTCGTGTGCAGGAGACAGGCAGATTAGTTCATTTTTAGCCAAAAGTGCATATTTGTAAGGCAAAGGCAGAGTGACACAATTGTCACATTTTAGCAGCAGGGGCTACAGAAGCTGAAAGTGAGGGCTACAAGTCATGTGTGATCATTTTTGTAACAGGTGACATGCAGCTGTTTTTATTATTTTTGTAACAAATGGTCCTGCTTTCCACTGAGAATCTAATACCAGTCAAAGGGCATTTGTTGTTTGTTTGGAAGAGTGGATGGCATGATCCCTAAATTCCCCAAGATTTTGTGAGCAGAATTCCTGAAGCTCTGTACCTCATAGTTCATAAAAATATTTTTTAATTGCCAAGCTTACATTGTTAGATCTGCATCAACATTAGAGTGAAACACTTTACTTTTTTTTTTTAATTTGAATTCTCACTGGATACTTATTGATATTAAGAAAGCATCATTCTATTTCTAAAGACTGAGGTATTATCTTTTGTTTTTATATTTTAAAGTAGGAACATTTTCTTGAGGATACAAACTAAAATATTTAGAGATAGTCTCTGTGCTTATTGATTTAAAAATTTATATATTCAATATTTTATTTCTTTGAGAGATTATTTTTTAAAAAATTATTGCACATCTTTTTATATCAAAATATTCAACTGGGCTAGTTAGTAATCTTAATCTCATCAAGAAATTAGCCCAGGTATCAATAATGGTCATCTTAAGATGAGTTTGACTAGAACTTCCGATTCCAGGATTTTAAGATTGTTTTGTGAGTTACTGCCACAGAACACTAATTATTTATTAGTGATAAATTATCTGTAAATAATCAAAAGTGTACCAAATTTTCTAATCTAATCTCTAGTTCTTTATCAATTGAAGAAATTATTGGACAGTGTTTTTTGTTTTTGTTTTTAATGAGAGAAGGGTGGGAAGAAAACCCTGTGAGGGCTTTTAGCTTTGAACTCTCAGTAAAAGCTTTAGCAGTATTTAGTATCACCAGCTTGGTATAGGTTAAAAATGTGACACCCATCATTTACCAGGTAATAAAATTCAGATAGTGATATAGTGCAGCTACAGTTATTAAGGATAAATTAACTTGTTATCAATTTAATATTATGGAAACACTTTACATTTAAACAAGATAGCAAAACTTTATTTCTGTTGTGTAATTAATTGATCTGTTCTTTAAAATACTTTTCAGATGGTTGTAGTTTATTTCTTTTTAAATGTCCACAAAATTAGAAATCTCAGGGATCCATGGATCAGTTTCGTTCTCCAGACATATGATAAGAGATTAATTTAGAGTCTCACAAATATGGTGTTAAATTGTGTCTGTAAAGAGGTTGACTGTAAATGGATCCAAACTTCATATTTCTTCCTTCCCTGTTTTTATTTTTTCTTCTTCTTTTTCCCCATTTGAGACACTCTCATCCAGTAAACTCTAATTAATTGTCTTGGTAAATTCTGTTTCATGCCATTGTGAGTAGTGTCAGTGACATCCGGTCTCTTCCACTAAGGTCAAATTAGCATCTTTTACTATTTTTCTGGCATTTAAATGAATGACTTTGCAATGGCTTTTCAAGTGTTTATAGTAAATATGTCCATTTGATGGCAATATAAATATGCATTATGTGCAAGTGGCTGAGCACACCCTCCTGTCACGTTTTATTGTAATCAGTGTCTTTCACTTTCTGTGGTTTTTAACAGGGACTGGCTGACAATGCTACATTAAAACCACTGGGACTCAAAAGATAAACTCCTCAGTACTGCTTTTACCTTCCAAAAGTATTTGTGTTTTTCTCTTAGCATGCCAGTTCCACTGTTCTCTGCAATTTCCACTCTGGACTTAGGGAATGAATTGGCTTACTGAAACTGGGGCCTTGATCTGGGACACTGAATGACTCCATGTATTTGAATCGGTACCTGTGGGGCCACTTGAACATTGTGCCATTGAGTTAACTTTCTTTCTCTGCTGGTGGTTTTGACATTGACCGGTCCACTCAACACAGTACAAGTGAGGCCAAGAGGAAGGTGAAAGTGGGCTGATGATCCTTAAATTCCTCAAGATTTTGTGAGCATAAATTCTTGATGTTTTCTAAATTACAGTTCATAAATATTTCAAAATTGTCAGACTAATCTCTTTTAGAGGTTCATCATTACTAAAGCGACACTGAAATTTAAACCTGGGGGATTGGGGCACTGTTGATGAGTTTTGGAAATTGAGAAGTCAGTGGCAAATTGCCCTGCCTGCAGCCATTTTCCTAGATACGTGCATGTCCAGAATGTATTTAAGGAGGTGGGAGGCAGGGTAGCACCAGAACCTTTTCCTTTTGCCGTGACTGGGCAGGTACAATCTCAGAACCCATCTGAGGTTCTTTCTGGCCTAATGGAAGTGGTTTCAGAGATGAGGTTCACCACCAGACCATCCCATCAGAAACTTTACTTTCCCTGTGATAACACACACATCTGGTAGAAGGTGCTGTTTATGTGCTTTTCTGAACTAGCTCTACTCTGGCCCCATGTTTTACAACCAGCCTTTTCTCCCCAGCTCTACTCTGGCCCCATGTTTTACAACCAGCCTTTTCTCCCCAGGTGCTTCTGCAGGAAAGTTTCTCTCTCTTCTTCCCCATGTCTAGCCCTGCTCTCTTCCAGGCTACCTTG